CATTTTCAACAACTTTTTTTAAATTAAGGGATAGAATTTTTAAAAAGATATAGCAAAACTGTCTTTATTATAATGGTTTACCTAAACAAGTAGCAAGAGTTTTTGACGTTTGCCTGTATACCTAACCTCTCTTTGAATTAAACTTTTTTCTCTCCTTCTCCTACAGACTTAGCTCCATAGTACAATGTATAGAAATCTGGTCAACAGTAGACCTCCAGCATGAGGGAGACTAGGCTTGCTGTGTAGGAGGTACCCAGAAGCTGTGGGAGGGATACAGGGAAGAGGTGCTTGCATAAAAACCTTCTACCTTCACTGAAAACAGCTATGCATTGTTACAGGTGCACACAACACTGGAGATCATCTGGATATGCTGGTAGTATACAATTAATTCCTTATTTTCATATCATTAATACACAATTTATGTCTTTGACAATGCCTCCTGATCATGAATGATTAATGCTAAAAAATAAGAAGGGTTGTTTCAATTACATAGATAATTAGTAAATATTTGTATCTCAAAACAAGTTTCTACTACTAGCCTATTAAAATGAATGTAGCAATTTTTAAAGCATCACAATGAGAATCTACATAGAAACCATAGTGTTTTAAGGCCATTTCTTTGGAAACTTAACAAAATACAGCTTCAGGTACATGATACCAATCTTTAATCAAAGAACTAAAAGGCATATATTTAATGTCTTAATTATTATTTAAGAACTTCAGCTAAGTGATTATTTTCAAATATGCATAAGAGATTCTCTTTATTTCAAAGTTAATATTGCAAATAAATAAAAATAGTTTTAAACTCTTCCTTATACATTTTCATTTAAATAGTTTGGATCCTTAATCTATGAGAATTTCTTTCCAAGAAAACTTAATATGTTTAAAGTCAAACAGAAAACTTTGATTTACTAAAGGATCACGTCAACCTTTTAATAATCAAAACTTTTAATTCTTCACAATTAAGTGTGCAGAGGGGGGAAACATGTTGAGATTAAAGTGGTACATACACAGAGTCTCCTATCTAATGCTTTGTCCAAAGGGTTTCCACCCACCAGCACTGAAAAGCTATAATCCCAGCAAGCAAGAGCCATACCCTTGTGCATGCACTCATGTGAAAATATCACACACACTAAATTGCATTGAGGCCGTGACAACATGCAACTTAGTAATGTGCAATATCTCCACCAGAGCAAGCAGAATGAGAGCACCGGGGAAAGGGTGTGATGTATACATTCAGGAGACAACATGCTGCTGAAGGGAGGAAAATGGTTTGGGGATACAGGATGCATGCTACTAACTCAAAATCTCATGAAATGATAACCAATTCACAAATGCATTCAATTTAAAACTGATTCAGAATTAAAGTAATCATTAAGGTTCAAAACTTTGATGACACATGATATAAAGGAGAAACACATATTTCAGATGGCAAAGCTCCGGGAACACAACAGACACTTCTCTATCCAGTCATGCAGTTCACCCAATTTCACTCCACTTGTAATGATTAATAGACCAAACAAAATGGGCATAATGATTTTTACTTAAATACAACTCTGATGATGATGATGAATGACTACTGTTTTATTGATGATAATTTACAGACCAAACTATACTTTATGGACATTACAATATTTTTAGAATCATCTATATAAATATTTTTTCCCTTAAAAAATCTTTCTCAGGCAGCTATGGTGACTCAAGCCTGTTATCCTTAGCTACTTGGGAGGTAAAAATCAGTGGACTGTGGTTCTAGGACATCCCAATCACAAAAGTTCATGAGACTCCATCTCACTCAATGGCTGGATGCAATGCCTTTAACCTATCATCCCAGCAACAAATGGAAGTAAAAATAGGAGGACAGCAGCCCAGGCTAGTCTGGACATAAAGCAAGTCCATATTTTGAAAATAACCAATGCAAAAAGGAACTAAAGAGTGGTGCAAGTGATAGAGCATCCACTTAACAAGGGCAAACTTTGATTTCAAACCAGAGTACCATAAAACAATAATAATTAATAATAATTTTTCTCCATGAAGAAACATATTCCTTTTGGAACATAATCCTTCAGAATGAAAAATTTAAGTCAGGCACTAGTGGCTCGTGCCTTAATCTTAGCTACTCAGGAGGCTGAAATCTGAGGATTCCTGGGGAGGAAAGTTTATAAGATTCTTAACTCCAATAAACTATTCAGAAAAAGTTGGATGTGGCACTATAACTCAAAAACAGCTCAGGGTCAGTGCCTAGGCCCTGAGCTCAAGCCCAAGACTGGCAAAAAAAAGAAAGAGCAAAAAAGTAATAATAATAATAATAATAGAGAACTCAGGGTAAGAGGTATGTCTCAGCAGAAAGAATGGCTGCTTAGCAAATGTGATGCCGAGTTCAACCATAGCTAGTATTACAAAAAAAAAAAAGAGAAAAAAAGAAGATGACATGCGTGATACAAATAAGCAACTCAATGATAAGACATTTTATAAGCAGTCAGCAAACCATTTACTATAAGCAATTTTAAGAACTCTGATTTCAAAACATGTGAGACTAAGAATCAGTGTTAATGAAAGGTACTTTAAGGAAAATAAAGTATCAAATTTCTTTAAAAGTTCTTTATGAACAAGGTAAGTATTTTTCTATACACAGTGATTAGAGGATTAATCCAACCCTCTAACTGTTCCAATAGTTTTATCCCACTGGGAAGAAGTAAATGATTTTTCCACTGGCACCACTATAATCCTAGCTACACAAAAGGCTGAATTATAGAAGGTTGAAGTTCAAAACCAGCCCAGGCAGAAAAGTCAACAAGACTAGCAAAAAAAAAAAAGCATGGGTGAGGTATGGCTCAGGTGGTAAAATAACAGTCTAGAAATCATAAGGCCCTGAGTTCAGATTCCAATACCATTAGAAAAAAGTTATTTTTCACTTAGGGGAGAGTATTTGTATGCTTGCTTTTTTTTTTTGGTTGTGGGGCTTGAACTACTCTGGGCCTGGGCGCTTTCCCTCAGCTCTTCAGCTCAAGGCTAGCACTCTACCACTTGAGCCACAGCGCCACTTCCGGTTTTCTGAGTGCTTTATTAGAGATAAGAGTCTCACGGACTCTCCTGCCTGGACTGGTTTTGAACCACGATCCTCAAATCTCAGCCTCCCGAATAGCTAGGATTACAGGCGTGAGCCATCAGTGCTAGGCCTTGTATGCTTTTTAAAAGTCAGAATTATATCAGTTAGATAAGCAAATGATACTCTTATTACTGGAGTTTTTGCAATTTTCCAATAAGGATTATAACCAAAGGTCATAGATCATAGAAGGGATGCTAAAATTAATACTTCTTTGAAGACAGAGTCATTTTGAGGGCTATTATTTAAGATAACATATTTCCAGCTTGGTATCTCTTTTTTCCACCACCCCCCATCCCCAGCCTGGGTCCAATCACTATATGGGTGGCTTCATGTGGTTCTCAGGGGGTATCAAACAAGCACTAAATGAATTTTCCTTTTAAAGTCCCACTTGACTTCCAATCCAATCAAAGAAGTCAAGTACCTATGAAGATTTTACCCATAATTTGCTAAAAGAAAAAAAGGAAGAAAACCTAAATTCCCTAGAGATGGTCTACGTTTCAATTATACAGGAATGTAATGAAGGGTTTCCAGAGATCAAAGTGCTACTCTCCCCAGTTGCTACATGAACACAGTGAAAAAAAGGCAAGCCAAAAACAGTCAGACAGGATGATCAGGTCAAATCAAGATTTGTCAGTAATGCCAAGTTTCAAACAGTGGTATATTTTAAAAAGTATGTGGAAACAGAAACACCAGTCAAAGATTTACTATTTGACAAACTTTTAAGGTATTAAGATCATGTGGCTAACAACTTATTAGGAAGAGGAATTCTAATGGCTGATATGAGATTTGAGTAGTTACGTACAAAAGGTTTTATAAAGAGTCATGTTAATAAGCAATGAGCAACAGGCTTTAAGGAGGAGCTGAAAGGTCAGAACTGCACATGGTATCTCCCAACCAGACATGAAGAAAGAAATGGGGGCCAGGAAGGACTGTTATAAAGCCTATAGGGTATTAAGGTACTAAAGAATCTCACTCAGAAGTGTCTAATACAGACTCCAAAGGAATGACGGAAGTTTCTGCCAGTCTATAAAGCAGAGACCATGACTGGGAGGTAACAAAAAACTGCATTTCCCCTATCCAAGCTATTCCTTCAGAGGGCACAGACTAGCTACTTAGAAGTAAAATATTCTCCTCCTGGATCTGAGCTAGGATTCCTGAGATGAGGCTGAAGTGGAAGCAGAGGGCGCTTCTCCAGAACAAGTAACATGGCAACAAATGTAAACCTTCCTGCTAATAGAAAGCTGTTAAGAGGCGCATCACACAGTTGTAAATCCCAGGCCAAAGTATAATGTAACAACCTGTCTGAATATTTTTACTTATAAACATATGCACTAGCTAGGTGCAATCAGGAGACAGAGGGAGCAGTACTGTGAGGTTGAGGACAATCTAGACTACAAAGAGTTCCAGGCCAGCCTAGGATATATAGTGAGACAATGTCTCAAAAGAAACAAAAAGCAAAAACATGTGCATTGCACCTCTCAAAAGGAAATAAAAATCCTAAGAATACCAGAATCCTTAACTAATTTAGCACTAAATATGTTACCAGGAGTTTAAGCTCGAGACAGAAAACATACTTTTCATGAATATAGATGGTGAGAAGAATAAGGATAACATAAATTTTACCAAGTGCAGGTGGCTCATAGCCATAGCTACTCAGGAGGCTGAGATCTGAGGATTGAGGTTCAAAGCAAGCCCAGGCAAAAAACTCTTGAGACTCTTTTCTCCAATTAACCACCAAAAAACTAGAAGTACAGATGTGGCTTAAGTGGTAGAGCATTAGCCTTGAGCACAAAAGCTCAGGGACAGTGCATAAGCCCTGAGTTCAAGTTCCAAAAATGGCAAAAAAAAAAAAAAAAAGAAAGAAAGAAAGAAAAAAGAATCTTATCCCTACCTGATGGCTTCTTCCACAGACTGGCCAATAATATTAGAGGAAGGACCTGGCTGAGATAGTGGTGTCAGGCTTATCACCCACTTCACTGGCTTGTAGTACTCATCACTGGAACTTAATAGATAAAACAGTGTGGTCAGGAAAATTATCTGCAAAACAAAGGACAGCGTTTCCTAAAAAATCACATTTGGGAAACTACAGGAAGACAGCCATCTGCAAATACAAATAGAACCAGGAAAATGCTTTAATGAGGGAGATGTACTTGAAGTGTGCTTATCTAGATATACATACCAGGGAGAGTACAAAATTAAGAAGGGCAGTGCCACTATAGAAGAGGATAGTCAGCAGCGTGGTAACTGTAGTAAATAGCAGGCTCACATTCCGGCTCATAACAATCCACAAGGACTCCAAGATCTGACAAGGAAAAAAAGCTGATGTCAGAAGTAATTCTTGTGAAAGGAACTGCTATAGCCATCTAGTGTGCTTTCAATAAAGCCTTACTACCATAACTGAAAAAGATGAGAACTGAGGACTATTTTAAATAATGGGGGGAGGGGATTGGGAGAGTGTGAAAACAACTGTGTTCAAGAGCCAAAAGAAAAATAATATTAACAGTAGTAGTAGTAGTAATATGGTGTATTTCTTCACAGTACTAGGCAGATTTCAGAAATATCTATTATAAAAAAGAAATGTTTTATTATGTAATGCTAACTTCAAAAGATAAAAATTTTTATATAGTTCATGATTATTACTAAAAATAGAATGTATGTAAAAGTGCCTATAGGAAAACATGTCAATAAATACACTCTGGTGATATGTATTTTGTAGGATCCTAAGTGAAGTTCAAGCATTTATTGTGTTGGCTGCTGCCTATCCTCTACCTTAGCCATCTCCAGCTTAGAACCAGCTATAAATATAAAAAGCATTACTTCTGTGACAACTAAAATCACAATGAAAATAAGATAGACTATTGTCTGTCCTAATAGACTAGTCTGTTTCCTGAGATAGACAATGACTAGTCGATTATAACCTACTGACTTCAGTTGATTTATCTATCACCAGTGAATCCACCAGAACCAGATATCAACATAGTTATATACACATTAAATATGACTAAAAATGGAAATTATAGTGCTCCTGAGTGTTTTTATTTCCTAGCCTTTTATCAACTTAAATTCCTCCATAGTCATGGAGTATGTCTGATGTCTTTCTACTCTGCCTGAGATTATAATTCCTGTTAATAAGATATGGAAGCAAAATGATAAGGAAAATATCTTCCATGACTATTTTTAAAATACTTCCACAAACTTCATAAAAGTGCTGTGATGGAAGCAATGTAGATATCGCCTCTATTTGGTAGCTATATAAGCTAGAACTCATGTTTTAAAATGTTTGCCCAAGGACAAGCTAAAAAGTAGCAACAGAAATGGAACCAGAACTCTTTAATGTCTGATTTTTATTTTGCTGCCCTTTCTGAAACAGTTCTGTTTTTTGTCATATATTCATTTAATCATCTATTCTTTGAAAGGCCTGTCCATACCCTTCCTACCTCAAATGTATCATTATAAAGGCATATTTTGTTGTCCCAGCCATTTCTTGCAAACCTCAGCTGCATCTTCATAATAGAACTTTAGCAGCAGGCTGGTTTCAGTTACAAGAGCTCCTTACATATAGTCCTGAAAATGTTTCAGTATGCCTACAAAAATATGCAACAATTGACTGTTTGACTTTGTGAAATAAAGAATGAATGAATAATGCAGTTGGTTCCAAGAAACAATGCCTTTATTTGTGATTTTTTTTGACAAGCATTCTTTTGGGGGCTTAAGCCATTCTTGAATTTTTATCAAAAATTTTTTAAATAGTTTCTAAGTCATAATGACATGAAATACTGTGTTAAAATTCTTAAGAATAAATTAATTATATGTTGGTAGTTTACAATTCAACAACCTTTTATCCTTGAAACAAAATGAGGGATCAGCTGAAGAAAATGGAAAAAGGGAGATTTCTGGAATATTAACTAAATCCTTGCAGTATTTTTAGTTTATATGCCAGGCTTAGAAAGAAGGAAAATAGTAAAGACAGTAAGAGTAAGAAGGCTCTGAAACTCAGAAAATTAAATTTAAAAAATACAGAAAACATGAGCCAGGTTTGGTGTATATTTAATCAACATTAGAAACAGAACTCTAACAATGTCAAGAATAGACTGGACCTAAAAGAGAAGCCTGAGATTCATCTAAGCCTTCAAGCAGTGTAGTCGCAAAACATAACCAAGGAGCTTCACTAATTTCACGCTTTTCTGTACCCCTACACTTTGAGTCTACTATGCCAAGTAAACTTTAGATTACTACTCTGGATTCCCAGGATCTTTTCTAGACCCTTCAGCTTTTGGTTCTATAGAACCAAAGATCCGAACAGAAGAACAGAACCCTGCAGAGATTCAGTCATTAAACTAAGAGAAAATGACCCTTCTGGTGGCTCAGCTATCTGTCTGCCTTATTGAGTCTGGAAGGAATTTGGAGCTGTGGGCTATGTGACCTCCACTGTTCTTTGGTTCCTTTCTTCCTTATCTAGCTATACAATAAGGAAGTTGAGCTGGGTGATCTCCAAACACCATTTTAAATGTGCCACTGTGCTGCTAAATACAAAAATAATTACTATTCAAACTGTAATGTGCCTCTCTTGGTTTAATTGAAACCACACTACCATTCTAAATTCTAAGGTAGTGATAAATGACATTCTTTCTGCCCCAAGTACTTAAAAATCTAGGGAAGAAAGTAGGTATAAACACTAAAATTAACCAGTAAAAAACAGAAATGGAAGTAAAGCACCAACCCTAAGTGGAAAAAGTCAAATCAGAGGGCAAAGCCCTGAGTTTAAGCCCTAGTACTGACATCTGTTTTCTTATTTTTGTGTGACTGTATGGTTCAATTGTTTTAGTTTCTAAAACTGTCTATACTTTAACTCTTACCATAAAAATTTATAAAATTTAAATACATTTTCTGCATCTGTCTTTATCTGATTCAATGTCATTTCATGGTCAACATCAAAACCTTTAAAATTCACTTTTAAAGGTTCAAAACAAGAGTGTTTAGTAACTTTTATTATTGAACATTCCTTTAGTTAGGGGAAAACAAACATTCATATATTATCAAACATATACTACCTTGCATATGTATTAGCATTTAAAAGCTGAAGCTCTAGCTGGCTGTTAAGTGTTTCACTCTTAAAAAGAAACAGACTGACTGCCAAGGGTCACCAAACATTTGAAGACAGCCTCAAAGATGAAAGATTAAAGCAAACTTCGAAGAATTCAGAGCAAACAGAAGCAGAAGACATTTAAAACATTTTATTAGTAATATCCTCAAAGATTAAAAAAAAAGATTCTGAATGTAAGAAAGAGCCATTGGATATAACAAATTTGGTAGAAGATGTAATCAGTTCAATCAAGGTTTCAAAAAAACAGTTAAAGGGCCAAACATGGAGGTGAACACTTGTAATCCTAACACTTGAAAGGCTGAGACAGGAATTCAAAGACAGTCTGGATGACATCTGGTGGCCCCCTTGCCTCCAAAAATGGGGGAGGGGGGGGCTGTCTGTGGATATAGTTTAGTGGTAGAGTTCTTATGTTACTAGCACAGGCAAGACCCTGGGTTCAGTCTAAGCACTACAAAATAAATGAAATAACAGAAAGTTGAGGCTGTATCAGAGGCAAAAAAGGAGGAAGTAAAAAAAAATGTTTCAAAGAAAGACGTAAAATCTATGTGCATCTGATCATACAAAATAATATTTACTGAAATTAAAACAAGACTTTTTTTCCTTTTTGCTGTGTTTGTTTTCTATCCTTTTTGTTGTTTGTTCATTTATATGTCTTTGGAAGAGTAAGGGGAGGCATAGAAATGGAGAGACAATGGGTAAATAAATACAACAACGGTACTCGCTGAACGCAATGTTGAAAATGAACTGTACATCTTATGGATGGGGATGAAAAGGAAAAACTGGGAGAGAGCAAGGAAATGGGTGATATTGTCCAAAAAGAAATGTGTTCTTTACCTGACTTATATAACTGTACCCCTCTGTACATCCCCTTTATAATAACAATAAAAAAATTAAAAACATTTATGTTTCAAAAATTACAGAATCCATGCCAGGATAGGCCCAATGTTAGACAGTCAGATACATAGTTTTCAAAGTATGGCTCCAGGTCAACAGGAGACCCAAGACACTTTCAAGGGTCTGGGAAGTCAAAATATTTTTGAGGAGTACTCAAACATTTGCTCTTGCTCATACTGACATCTGCATTGATAGTGTGTAGACAATCAACACCAGGTAAAGTTACTGGGTCCTGGCATGAATCAGGGAGGTAGTACATGTTTCAGTCTCTACTGTATTCTTCACTACCACATATTCAGCATCAGCTTCATTTAAGAAGTTCTTCATGCATCAGTAAAATTTTTCATAGTATTTACTATCAACCTCGAGAAGCACATTTTAGACCCTAGGAACTAGCATTAATGTATAGGCTAGGCTGGGCAATGTACTTAATTCAGCTTTCCATGCAACTAGAATGACAGGCACAAGTCACCATGCTTAACTTGTATTATTTGAAATGGGATCTCAGGAACTTTTCTGTTCGTTTTTAGATGGGAGAAAGGAGCCTGGGCTGGCCTCAAACTGAGACCTTCTCAGTATCAGCTTCTCAATTAGCTAGGATTACAAGTGTGAGCCACCACATTGATCTTAATTTTATTTCTTGGCATATGGGGATTTGAACTCAGAACTCAGGGCTTCATGGCTTGCTAGGTATATGCTCTATCACTTAAGCTATAGTCTACCAACCCTCCACTGCCATCTTTTTTTTTTTTTTT